ACCCTACACTCCTGGTTCAGACCTGCAGCTAAAAAATTGCAACATGAATTTGTCAAATAGTCATAACATGATCAACATAAGCACTTACAGGGCATGATATTCATTCAACTTTCACAAACTATCATGTCCAAATACATGTTCAAGTCATGCTATAAGCATTTATGCAATATGAAATTTTGGTGCTCCAACTAAAAATGCAATTAATTTCATTGTTTTAGCTTGACTCACTCACAGTGTTGATCATATATTCTTGGTTCCTGCTTAGTAAATGGCTGTAGTGATAGACTTGCTACATCCATATCAAAATCTTTGCCATCCGCATTCTGCATTACCAAACCAAATATCTTAAAACAAATTAGAAATGTGTGAAAACTTTTACTAGTGAGTAAAATAAAATACAGAAGAATTCAAGCAAGGGACCTGAAAGATTATGGTAGATGAATTTGAAGATGAGTTAAGAACAAAACCACCCTTAAGAAAAGAACATCCACTCTTGGCAGAAACTGTTCCAATACAGTTGTATGTATCATGTTCTGCTTCCAGTCTCGCTCTTATCATAACTGAATCTGAACCTTCAACCCTCACCCATGCTGCCACATCATCATAAACAATAATATTCATATATTAAATTCAATTGAATTTCAAAATCATCAACAATCCGTTGTAGTCTAGTTGGTTAGGATACTCGGCTCTCACCCGAGAGACCCGGGTTCAAGTCCCGGCAACGGAAATATAATTTGTTTTTGATATTTTAACCAAAAGAGTTCTGCAATTGATGAAATAGTAAAGAAGAGAAGATACAAGGTGAAAGATTGTATACGACAAGTGAAGAAGACATGTTGGTGTTATTATGATTGAAAATTCCTCCTCCATAAAGTGGCTTCTCAGGGTACCCTTGGCACTGTCAACACAACAAAACACATTGACATTGTGATAGAGAGTGACATTTTTATTACCTGAGTGTATGCAGTTGAGTCATATATGGGTCCATCTGCAAAAACAAAAACTAATAATTAATGAACGAATTTTATAATGTTCACCTTAAAATAAGAACAATAGTGAATAGGAATAGTTAATAACCATAGAGAGAAGAAACTCTTAATGTTAAGAGAAGGAAGAGAAGTGAAATATGTTGCAGCATGTTTAGAGACTGTGTTCAATGAAGTGTGAAAGGCAGTAGTAACTAGTGTTTAATGCTAGTCGAGGTATAAAACAAAGTAAATGTATGTTGTAAGGTAACGGTTTTTTGTCACAAGTTGGTTCCTAGGTTTGTCAAGCAAATAACTGCACAATTAAATTAAAAAAAGCGCAGCTAATTGCATGGAAAGAATGGGGACAGATAGGTAGAGATAACCATTGAGAATTTGAGTGGCAGCCTTGCAAAATTGGCAGGGTATTCGAAGTGCCCACTGTTTGAAGTACACATCGAACTTGTTCTCGTCCACCAACATCACCACTGTGTTGGGTTGGAACTGTTATGTAGTAAATATATTTCTTATTTACTTTTTTTGACATTTCATATAGGTGAATCTAGACATTTGACATGTGTGTATAGAAAAGAGCGGCTGCAGAGAAGGTGAAATAACAGAAACAATCCATTAGCAACTCACAAAGGGCCTCACGGTTATTCAACTACCAGGCAGTTACATTTCACAATCACATAGTATTTCTAAAACTAAACAAATTGAACCAATGAACTAAATAGCACATGTGGTCCGGTTTTAGAATTATCCAATACAAATTAACTAGAAACAAGATACAAACCTTCCCCAAATCTCAAACAGTAAGACGCCTACGCTCCACCAAATCTATCGATGTTTCTTTGGGAACCCACAAACTTGGGAAATATAGGAAGCGCAATTGGAAAACTGATTCTCACAAATGAATGCACAACAAACAAATTAAGGATTTCTTATGCTAGAATCTTAGTGGAGATTGATATCACAAAGCCTCAGGTAGAGAGTATAGAAATTCAGGATGAGGTTGGGGAAAACTATGAACAAAAGGTTGAATTTGAGTGGAAGCCTAATTTCTGTGATACCTGTCAAAGAGTGGGACACAAATGTGTTAAAGAGAAGCTAAAAGAGAAAAAGTAGTGGAAACCAGTGATAGCAAAGGCTAGCCCAAAGCTAAGTTAGGTATGCACTCCTAACAACCCTATTGAGGCCTCATCCACTGACTGGACTCAAGTGAAACATGGTAGGAAGATGATGGGAAAAGCTATTTTACAAGATCCAGTAGAAGAGATCCCTTGCAACAATGGGTTTGAAGCTCTGAGGATTGGGAAAGATCCAAGAGCTGGCACTGTAGGTGTGCCATGATCTTATCCTAGAATGTGAGAGGGTTGAATAAGACAGGAAAATGTAGGGAGATTGCAACCCGTCTCAATTACCTGCAACCTGATTTTGGCATTCTTATAGAAACTAGAGTAAAGAAACACAAAGCTGATAATATCATAAATAAGGTAGGGCATAAGTGGTCCTACTTTGATAACTATGAACACCATGAGAATGGTAGACTTTGGATTTTTTGGGATAACACTAAGGTCCATCTGAAGAAGGTTAGTAGTACTGATCAAATGGTCCATATAGGAGTGTATAACATCCAAAGGAATTTCCAAGTGTGGTGTACTGTTATTTATGCCCATAGTACTTTGGAAAAGAGAAGGAATTTATGGGATGCGATTGAAGATTTGGCTAATTCTGTGACAGGCCCTTGGTTTCTCATGGGTGATTTTAATAATGTTTTGAATGTTCACGATAGAGTGGGGGCAATGATGTTCAGGAAAAAAGAGTTCATTGATTTGGCTGAGATGATGGATAGAGTTGGGTTGTTTAAGAAAAGAAGTGTGGGGGGTCACTTTACTTGGACAAACAATCAGTGTAATGACCCCATTTACTCCCGGATTAATAGGCTTATTGGTAATGCTCAATGGCATCAGAACTATATGGAAAAAACCCTGAATATCATGACAGCTTCTGTGTCAGATCATGCTTTACTGTGCTTGCAGGGGTCTGAGAAGAGGCAAAGTATTAAAAAGAGCTTTAAATTACCTAATTTCTTGGCTAAAGAGAAGGGCTTTATGTCTGTTGTGGAGAATGATTGGAACAAAGTCCTAGAGGGTAAGCCTGTGTACAAAGTCTGGAAAAAACTCCAAAGACTTCAAGCAGTTATTAAGGATAGGAGGAAACCTTATCAAGGTATTAAGTTGCGGGTTGACAAAGCTAGAGAAAACTTTAATCTGGCCCAGGAGGAGGTGTGTCAAGACAGAATGAATGTTGATAATATTTTGAGGGTGAAAGAGTTTTCTCAAGACCTCGCTCACCTTGCTAAAATTGAGGAAGATTTTCTTAGGTAAAGAACTAAGATTGATTGGATTTGCCTGGGTGATAACAATAATTCCTTTTTCTATGCTAGTCTTCGAAGTTCCCACAACAAATCCCACATTAGCAAGCTGATTGATAAGGATGGTAATACCCTGATGGAGGAGGATCTTATAAAGCAGGAAATTTACAGTTTCTATAAGGATATGGTAGGGACTGCTAATCCTCATTTGAGGAAAATTGACATAGAAGTGATGAGAAGAGGTAGACAATTAAGTACTGAACACTGCCAAGATCTAGTCTCCTCAGTTACTGAGAAGACAGCATTTGTGCCAGGGCATCACCTGCATGATCATGTCCTCTTGGCCTTCGGATTGGTTAAAGGTTATAACACTAAAGGTGGCCCTCCCAGATGTATGCTTCAGATGGACATTAGAAAAGCATATGAAAGTGTGGATTGGAATGCCTTAGAGGATATTATGGCTGAATTAGGTTTCCCCAACAGATTTATCTACTAGATCATGATTTTGGTCAAATCTGTCTCCTATAGGTACAAAGTAAATAATAGCCTAACTGGCCATCTCCCAGCCAAGAGGGAGCTTAGACAAGGGGACCCATTGTCCCTTATGTTGTTTGTGTTAATCATGGAGTATCTCCATAGGCTCCTGCAGAAAATTGGCAGAAATACGAATTTCAATTTCCACTCAAAATGTGAGAAGATCAAGATCATTGATTTTTGCTTTGCTGACGATTTGCTCCTGTTTACTAGAGGTGACAGTGTTTCAGTTTATCTGGCTCTTTCTGCATTGAGAGATTTCACTGATTCTACTGGTTTGGAGGTGAACCCTAGTAAATGTAAAGTTTGTTGTGGCGGAAGGCTTGCTTCCTTTTAGATACTTAGGCATTCCAATTCCTAGTAAGAAAATTACTCATAGGAACTGTTTGGAGCTTATTGATAGAATCACTCACAAAATCAGTCATTGGAGCTCGAGAATTTTGAGCTTTGCTGGGAGAACTTAACTGATCCAGAGCGTGCTCTTTGCCATGGGCAATATCTGGCTTCACTGTACTCCCCTCCCTAAGCAATCTATTAGGAGAATTGAAGCCATATGTAGGATTTTTCTGTGGTCTGGTTATGAGAAAGTGTCTAGAAAATCCCCCATTGCTTGGAACTCTGTCTGTGCCCCAAAAAATAAGGGTGGTCTCAATATTGTTAATTTGCAGGTGTGGAGTAAAGCTTGCCTTTCTAGGTATCCTTGGAACCTTAGTGGGAAAGAGGACAACTTATGGATAAGATGGGTCCATAGCTATTACCTGAAAGGGCAAGGCATAATAAATACTCCCATAAGGAGTTATGCTTCATGGATCCTGAAATCCATGCTCACCTTGAGAGATGAAGTTTCTGGCTTACATGTCTGGGATAATATGATTCTATAGGAGAAATATCCACAAGAGACATGTACAAGGATTTGTTTGGATATAGAGAAGATGTGGTTTGGAAGAAAACAATGTTGCTAGAAAGAGAGATATCCACACCCTTTGGATGTCGTGTCACAGGAAATTACCTACCAAAGAAAGATTGAATAGGTTTGGCGTGATTGATAACAACAAGTGTTGTTTCTGTAGTGATATCGAAATGCTTGACCATTTGTTCTTTGATTGTGTTGGTATCAAAAATATTTGGAAAGATGTTTTGATCTGGTTGGACCTTAACTGTTGAGAAAATTTAATAATTTGCACGTTTGAGTTGTCCTAGTTTTTAGGAGTGTCAGTAAGTTTGTTTCAGTATACCTAGTAAGTTTGTTTTAGTTTACCTAGTTAATAGGAGTTTATTTTGAACGTGTTAGATAGTGTCTATTTTCATGGTACCTTCAGTTATGCATTTGCCTATTTATAGGTTGTTAGTTTATCAATGAAGGAATCCACAAAAATCATATTTTGTGTACTTTTATTAACAGTGGTATCAGAGCTGGTGTTACGTGAGAGGGGCTGCAAATTGAGAGAAAAAAATATACTGTGAGGGAGAGAAACAAGAAAAACTATAATTTTTTTTCTGCACACATGGCTTCTGAAAATAGCTTTGTGCAAGCATCTATTCCACACTTTGATGGTCACTATGACCATTGGATCATGCTCATGGAGAACTTCTTGAGATCCAAAGAATATTGGACGGTTGTTGTTTCTAGAGTAGCAGAAACCGCAGCAGGTGTTACGCTGACAGCTGCGCAAAAGACAAAGCTTGAAGGCTGAAGTTAAAGGACCTTAAAGCAAAAAAATTATCTCTTCCAAGCTATCGATCGCTCAATTTTGGAAACCATTCTTTGCAAAGACTCAGCCAAGCATATTTGGGATTCCATGAAGAAGAAGTACCAAGGTACGACAAGGGCTAAGAGGCAGCAGCTTCAAGCACTTCGTTCGGAGTTCGAAATACTTCGAATGAAGTCAGGAGAATCAGTTACAGACTATTTTTCAAGAACGATGACAATTGTTAACAAAATGCGGATCCATGGCGACAAGACAGAGGATGTTCTCATTGTTGAGAAGATTCTTCGATCCTTGACACCAAAATTTAATTTTGTTGTCTCTTTGATAGAAGAAGCCAATGATGTTGATGAACTTTCAATTGATGAATTGCAAAGTTCCTTGTTGGTTCATGAACAAAAAATTAACCAGCAGGAGAAAGAAGAACAAGCATTGAAGGCCGTATCCGAAAATCACTTCATACCGAGTAGAGCCGATAGAGGACGAGGAAGAGGTAGAGGTCGAAATAGAGGATTCAGAAACAACAATGATCGTGGGAACCAACAGCAAAATCATCATCAAGAGAGTCAATTTCAAGGAAGAGGCCGAGGACGCGGAGGATACCACTCAATAACTTATCGATCAAAGTCAGCAGACAAGTCCAATGTTGAATGTTTCAGATGTCATAGGTATGGCCATTATAAATCAGAATGTCAAACTGATTTGAATAAAAGAAGTGGAGATCAAACTAACTTTGCAGAGAAGGAAAAAGAGGTGTCTTTGTTGATGGTGTGTCATGTGAAGGAAGAAACTCAACAAAACATGTGGTATTTAGACACTGGCTGCAGCAACCACATGTGTGGAGAGAAGGAGGCATTTTCTGACTTAGATGAATCCTTTCGCAGCTCTGTTAAGTTTGGTGACAACTCCAAAATTTCTGTTATGGGAAAAGGAAAGGTAACAATCTAAACCAAAGGAAATTCCACCCACACTATAGCTAATGTTCTTTTTGTGCCTGATTTAAAAACCAACTTGCTTAGTGTGGGTCAGTTACAAGAAAAGGGTTACGAGATTTTTATCAAAGATGGAGTATGTCAGATTCAAGATGCAAAGTTGGGCTTAATTGCTCAAGTTAACATGACGACGAATCGTATGTTCCCACTTTATCTCCACAACACAGCTCATTGGTGCTTCTCGACAAAATTAGAAGATGAGGCATGGCTATGGCACTTTCGCTATGGGCATCTGAATTTTGGAGGATTGAAAACACTACATCAAAAAGGCATGGTGACGGGGCTTTCTCAAATTACAACTTCTTCTCAAGTTTGTGAAGAATGTGTTGTTAGCAAACAACACCGTACTCAATTCCCACAAGGAAAATCTTGGAGAGAGAAGAAAACATTGGAGCTTGTTCATTCCGACATTTGTGGGCCAATAACACCACATTCTAATGGAGGTAAAAGATATATAATTACTTTCATTGATGATTATAGTCGTAGGATTTGGGTTTATTTTTTGCAAGAAAAATCTGAAGCCTTTGTAGCTCTTAAAAGCTATAAAACGCTTGTCGAGAAAGAAGTTGGTAACCCAATAAAAGTTCTTCGCACGGATCGTGGTGGGGAATATAACTCACGTGAATTTGCAAATTTTTGTGAGAACCATGGAATCAAGAGACAACTTACAGCAGCTTATACACCCCAACAAAATGGTGTATGCGAGAGGAAGAACCGCACTATTATGAATATGGTGCGTAACCTTTTGACGACAAGTGGCATTCCAAAAAGTTTCTGGCCAGAAGCAGTTAATTGGAGCACTCATTTATTGAACAGAAGTCCTACACTTGTTGTTAAAAATTTGACACCAGAGGAAGCATGGAGCGGAAGGAAACCTACCGTAGATCATTTCCGAATTTTTGGGTGTATTGCCTATGCCCATATTTCAGATGCGAAGAGGAGAAAGCTAGACAACAAGGGAGAAAAGTGTATTTTTCTTGGTGTTAGTGATGAGTCAAAAGCTTATAAATTGTACAATCTTAGCACCAAGAAAATTGTCATCAGCCGTGATGTGGTATTTGATGAAAAAAGCACCTGGTCATGGAATCAAAATGGTGTTAAAGAAAGTATTCCTGCTGATTTTGATGATGGGGAGAATGGGCAGCAACCTATGGATATAAAGCAAGAAGATGAAGTCACTCAAATCGTCCCAACTGATCAAAGCCCACATACAGCTGAATCACAAAGGCCTCAACGTGTTCGAAGGAAACCAGCCTGGATGACTGATTATAAGGTAACTGGAGTTGACCAAGGTGATGACCCACTTACACACTTTGCTCTATTTTCAGATTATGATCCTACCATCTTTGAAGTGGATGTCAAAGAATCAAAATGGAGAATGGCTATGGATGCTGAAATTACAACAATCGAAAGAAATGACACGTGGGAGCTATGTGATCTTCCAAAAGGGCAGAAGACAATTGGTGTAAAGTGGGTTTACAAAATAAAGCTGAAAGAGAATGGTGAGGTTGAAAAATACAAGACATGCTTGGTAGCTAAGGGCTATAAGCAGGAGTTTGGTGTTGATTATAAAGAAGTCTTTTCTCCTGTTGCAAGGCATGATATAATTAGATTGGTGATTTCTATGGCAACTCAAAACTCATGGCCTATCCTCCAGTTGGACGTGAAATCAGCATTCCTCCATGGTGATTTGTGAGAAGAGGTATTTATCGATCAACCTCCTGGTTATGTAAAGCTTGGCAATGAGCACAAAGTGTATAAGTTAAAGAAAGCTCTATATGGGTTAAAACAAGCTCCACGGACTTGGTATAATCGTATAGAAACTTATTTTTTAAAGGAAGGATTTCAAAAATGTCCTTATGAACATACACTTTTTACAAAGACTGAAGATGGAGGGAAAATGCTCATTATTTGCTTGTATGTAGATGATTTGATCTACACTGGAAATAATACAGCCATGTTTGGAAGTTTTAAGAAATCCATGATGGCTGAATTTGAGATGTCTGATCTTGGCATGATGCATTACTTTCTTGGCATTGAACTGGTGCAATCTTCTACTGGAATTTTTATTTCTCAAAAGAAGTATGTGCGAGAAATCTTGAACAGGTTTCAAATGAAGGATTGCAATTCTGTAAATACTCCATCTGAGTTTGGTATGAAGTTAAACAAAGATGATGGCGGAAAGAAGGTTGATGACACTATTTACAAACAAATAGTGGGGAGTTTAATGTATTTGACAGCAACAAGACCTGATATAATGTATGTTGTAAGTGTGATTAGCAGGTACATGGAATGTCCCACAGAGATTCATCTCTTGGCTGCAAAAAGAATTTTTCGGTACTTGCAAGGTACTAAGGAAGTAAGGATAATGGGTTGTTCTACAAGAGTGGAGAAAAGTCAGATTTGTTTGGGTTTACAGATAGTGATTATGCAGGAGATTCGGACGATCGAAAAAGCACATCTTGGTATGTTTTTAAGATGGGGACAGGAGTTGTTTCATGGTCATCAAAGAAGCAACCTATTGTCACATTGTCATCCACTGAAGCTGAATTTGTTGCTGCAACAGCTTGTGCTTGTCAAGCTATATGGCTAAAGAGAATTCTTAAAGAGATGCATTTTAAGGAGGATGGACCTACTCAGATTTACTGTGACAATAGTTCAGCAATAAAGCTTTCAAAAAATCCAGTTTTACATGGTCGAAGCAAACATATAGATGTGAAGTATCATTTTTTGAGGGATCTCACAAATGATGGAGTTATTAATCTTACTTACTGCAGAAGTGAAGACCAGATAGCTGATATTCTAACCAAGCCTCTCAAGTTCCCTGCATTTCAGAAGCTCAGGAGGCTACTTGGTGTTTGTACTTCAAAGTTTTCAATTTGAGGAGTGGAGTTTCAAAGCTTAACTCTTACTAAACTGAATGTGTGTCTGGAGCATCAGTTTAAGGGAGGGATTGTTGAGAAAATTTAATAATTTGCACGTTTGAGTTGTTCGAGTTTTTAGGAGTGTCAGTAAGTTTGTTTCAGTATACCTAGTAAGTTTGTTTCAGTTTACCTAGTCAATAGGAGTTTATTTTGAACGTGTTAGATAATGCCTATTTTCATGGTACCTTAAGTTATGTATTTGCCTATTTATAGGCTGTTAGTTTATCAATGAAGGAATCCACAAAAATCATATTATGTG